ATATATATTGTAGTGAAATGTGGGTGGACAGCTTAACTGTCGCTTCACTACTAAAAATTTCTATACAACGGGTTCTTTCTTTTTAGAGTTAAATTAATGCCATGTGACCAAGATAACTGTGTTCATTGTTTAATCAGTGACATGAGACGCCATTTTCTTTGACCCATCAGAATAAATGTGGTCATTTATTTAACAGAATCAAAATTTACCATCAAACATGTATACATAGATTTGCTGATCTGGTTCTGATTAATAAAACTTCGCACGTTTTACTAACAAGACAACAGAACATTTCTGAAGGCATCTAGATTGATTTACTGGCGAAAAGATTTACAAGAGGAGAGATTTCGAGGAAGATGGATGAAGGAAAGATGTATGTTTTGTTGACCAGAATTAGCACGATTCTTTCAACACAAGCTCAAACCTCCGGTACACTTAGTGCACGACAACTCATTACATTCGCAGAAGATGAATCAGCTCTGGTAACGGGTCCATTTCAACGCTACCTTTCCAGCGTCTCCGGTTAAAGCGGCTGGTCATTGTCAGAAGTCGTGTGGTTTACTCCGTTAAACAGAACAAGCTCCCTTCGAAGTTGTAGACGTTACGCCCGGGTGAGTTCACAGCGAGGCGCTGTGACTCCGTCAGAGATCCCACTCAGAAGTGGAATACTCCCAGAAGACTCCATGAAAGACCCAAGAAGACTCCAGTCAAAGACTGGAGAGTCAAGAAGACTCAGATCAAAGACTGAAAAATCGAGAAGACTGACTAGTTCCAGGAAGTGTTGACTTTTAAAAGAGTACTCACTTCCGGTCTAGATGTACTTCCTGATTGGTTGAAACAACCAACAGTGGGTGGTTCTAGTGATGTCAGAGGGTTATTAAAAGTCAAGAGAGGCTGCAGGAATGTTTAGGAACGTTTAGTACAGACAGAGAAATGTTATGACGAAGTGAGACAAACGCAGATGCCAGTGGCAATTATTTACCGTCTGCTAGGTTTAAAACAATACAGTTCGTTCTAATAACTTGTTTTCTGACTGTCTCTGACTTTCGACCGACATCACTGACTTCTCATTCAGACATAAGTTCAAAATGCATAACTACTTTGTAAATAGACATTTAACTTGACTTCTAATTTAAATGAGGTTTAAAAATCATTAACACTGTTCCACAGTTTATTTAAATGAGTGGTTTACTTTCAACATTAGAAATGATATGAACTAAACACACTTTTGATTATCAAGATATTGTAAAATAGTAATGATAATATAAAAAGAAGAGTGTTCTTTCAATTGATTAATTCAGGATACAATTAACAGTCTCTTGATGAGCTAATTTGTATTTCTGGATTCAAATCAATGAAATAACAGTTCCTGTCCCATAAAGGTCTTCAGAGACAGGTCTTGGTCGGAGGCCTAGTTCACTACAGTCCCCCCTTTGGAAATCATCGCCTGTCCTTGGGAATGAATTCCAACATGAACATACGCCTCTGAATGTCCTTGATCTTGATGTAATCCATCAAGAGGAAAACAAAAGTCAAAGAAGGTAATCCCACAACGGTTTAGGGAATTCCACAATGTTGTTGGTAATTCCATTATGTTGTTGGTAATTCCATTGTAGCGATGCTTTAACCCCTTCGAAACAAAGTCTGTAATCCATTGGAAAAAGTCATATAATCCACAACGATAAATCCACAACGATAAATCCATAACGATAAATCCACAACAATAAATCCACAACGATAAATCCACAACGATTGGAGGTGTTGATTGATCAGCATGCAGAGGGGTTCCCTCGATTGAACTTCAGAGGCGACCACTGGATGGAGATTGGAGACCCACGTTGGAGTTGTAGGTCCCTTCAGCGAAGGCTGCTACTGGTGGTTCCCTGTGGGTACATTCTGGTTCTGTGTTATGCATTTATGTGGATTTAGTTGGGCTTATGAGTGGGATTTTACATAGGACCTTAACCTATATGCACCTGGTGTGTAAGTTATCATGGTTTAGATCATCTACAGTTACCAATTAAATGGTGGGTCATGCTGAAAAATTTATATAGGGATTTATATCTATAGAAGGGCATTCCAAACTATTTTTTCCATTCCTAACTTGGTTTAATAATGCATTTTATTTGTCAGCGCCTTTCAAAACACCCAAGGACACTTCACAGCACTAAAAACACAGTACTAAACAATATAAAATAACTATTAAAAACACTAAACCAAAAGGAAAATAACATTTAAAAATAACAGTTAAAGTGAAAAGGCTAGCTTTAACAGATGAGTTTTGATTTGAAGGTCAGAAGGCAGTCAATGTTACGGATGTCCGGGGGAAGTGCATTCCAGAGCTGGGGAGCAGAGTGAGAAAAGGCTCTGTGTCCCATGGTGCTGAGGCGGACAAGAGGCACGTTAAGGTGGATGGAAGTGGAAGAACGAAGGGAGCGTGAATGGGTGGTAATGTGCAGGAGATCTAACAGGTAAGGAGGGGCGAGGTTGTGGATAGCTTTGAAAGTGAACAACAAGATTTTAAATTGAATTCTGAATGTGACTGGAAGCCAGTTAAGTTGCTATAAAACTGGGGTGATGTGGTTAAATGAGTGGGTTTTGGTGACGATGCGGGCAGCTGAATTTTGAACCATTTGAAGCTTACGGATTAATTTGTGAGGCAGACCAAAGAGGAGAGAGTTACAGTAATCGATTCAAGAAATGACCAGACTGTGGACCAGGATGGAAGCAGAGTGTGGCGAGAGGGATGGACGGAGACGGTTGATATTTCGAAGGTGGAAATATGCAGACCGGGTAATACTATTGATGTGAGAGTGGAAAGAGAGAGTGCTGTCAAGAATGACACCCAGACTCTTGACGTGAGGGGAGGGAGAAACTAAGGAGTTGTCGATGGTGAGTGAGAAACTGTTAACTTTAGATAAGGTGGATTTAGTGCCAATGAGTAGAAACTCTGTTTTATCGCTGTTTAATTTCAGGAAGTTAGACGTGAACCAGGATTTAATTTCAGCTAAGCAGGAAGTGAGGGAGGAGGGAGGAAGTGAAGAGTTAGGTGCAGTGGATAAAAAGAGCTGGGTGTCATCGGCAAAACAGTGGAAATGGATGTTAAATTTATGAAAGATATTACCAAGGGGGAGAAGGTAGATGATGAAAAGAAGGGGCCCCAGGACAGAGCCTTGGGGCACACCTGAAGTCACAGGAGAGGAATGGGATCTGAATGATTTCAGTTGGATGAACTGAGTGCGGCCAGAGAGATATGACTGAAACCAAGCGAGGGGTGTGTGGGTGATGCCAATGGATGAAAGTCTGTGGAGGAGGATGTTGTGGGAGATGGTATCAAAAGCCGCACTGAGATCGAGGAGGATAAGGAGAGAAAGTAATCCAGAATCTGCTGCTATGAGAAGAGAGTTGGTGATAGTGAGGAGAGCAGATTCTGTGCTATGACCGGGACGGAAACCAGACTGGAACTGTTCATATAGACTGTTATCGGTTAAATGAAGGTGGAGTTGAGAGGCGACTGTTTTTTTCCAGAATTTTGGAGATGAATGGAAGGTTAGAAATAGGACGGAGATTATTGAAAGTATTGGGATCCAATCCAGGTTTTTTAAGGATTGGAGTGATAACTGCAGTTTTGAAAATAACTGGGACAGTTCCAGAGGAAAGAGAAGAGTGAATGATGGCAGAAATGAACGGAAGAAGTGACAAAATGCAAGATTTAACAAGCGCTGTAGGGAGAGGATCCAGTGAGCATATTGTAGAAGGCTTGGATTTATGGATAAGTTCGGCTATTTCAGAGGCAGGAGGAAGCTGAAAGACAGAAAAAGGTTGACTAGGCGGATAAGGTTCAGAGGAGGGAGAAAGAGGAGAGACAGGACAAAGTTGCTGATGAATTTTACTGATTTTATCATTAAAAAAGAACATGAGAGAATTACATGTGTTGTCTGAGTAGAAGTGAGAGGGAAGAGAGTCAGGGGGGTGAAAAGTATTATTGAGCAATGAAAACAGGATCTTTGTGTTACCTTTGTTAGAAGAAATGAGGCCAGAGTAATAAGAATGTTTAGTTAGTGAGATCAAGTTCTTGTAGTGTGATGTATGAGAAATGTAAATGTCCCTGTGGATGGTAAGACCGGATTTTTTATAGAGTCGTTCAAGTTGATGACATTTGGCTTTGATGGTCCGAAGTTCAGAAGTAAACCAGGGGGCAGAATGAGTAAAGGTAACAGATCGAGTTTTAACTGGAGCAAGGGAGTTGAG